GTTGTAGCTGTTTATTCATCAGTTTTAGCTGTTCATTCATCAGTTTTAGCTGTTCATTCATCAGTTTCGGCTCTTCATTCATCAGTTTAGCTTTTTATTCATCAGTTTTAGCCGTTAATTCATCAGTTTTAGCTGTTTATTTATCAGTTTCGGCTCTTCATTCATCAGTTTAGCTTTTTATTCATCAGTTTTAGCTGTTTATTCATCAGTTTTAGCTGTTCATTCATCAGTTTCAGCTGTTAATTCATCGGTTTTAGCTGTTTATTTATCAGTTTCGGCTGTTTATTTACCAGTTTCAGCTGTTTGTTCATCGGTTTTGGCTGTTTATTCATCAGTTTCAGCTGTTTATTCATCCGTTTAAGCTGTTTATTCATCAGTTTCGGCTGTTTATTTTTCATTTTTAGCTGTTTATTCATCGGTTTTGGCTGTTTATTCATCAGTTTCAGCTGTTTATTCATCCGTTTAAGCTGTTTATTCATCAGTTTCGGCTGTTTATTTTTCATTTTTGGCTGTTTATTCCTCAGTTTTAGCTGTTCATTCATCAGTTTTAGCTGTTTATTCATCAGTTTCGGCTGTTTATTCCTCAGTTTTAGCTGTTTATTCATCAGTTTCGGCTGTTTATTCATCAGTTTTAGCTGTTTATTCATCAGTTTCGGCTGTTTATTCCTCAGTTTTAGCTGTTTATTCATCAGTTTCGGCTGTTTATTCATCAGTTTTAGCTGTTTATTCATCGATTTTGGCTGTTTATTCATCAGTTTCGGCTGTTTATTCATCAGTTTTAGCAGTTTATTCATCGATTTTGGCTGTTTATTCATCAGTTTTGGCTGTTTATTCATCAGTTTTAGCTGTTTATTCATAAGTTTTAGTTGTTTATTCATCAGTTTTAGTTGTTCATCAGTTTTAGCTGTTTATTCATCAGTTTTAGCTGTTTATTCATCAGTTTTAGCTGTTTACTGATCAGTTTTGGCTGTTTATTCAACAGTTTTGGCTGTTTATTCATTTAGTTGTTCAGCAGTTTTAGCTGTTTATTCATCAGTTTTGGCTGTTTATTCAACAGTTTTGGCTGTTTATTCAAAGTTTTGGCTGTTTATTCAACCGTTTTAGCTGTTTATTCATCAGTTTTGGCTGTTTATTCAACAGTTTTGGCTGTTTATTCATCAGTTTCAGCTGTTTATCCATCAGTTTTAGCTGTTTATCCATCAGTTTTAGCTGTTTACTTACAGCAGATTGAGCAGAGACTTGGTTGCTGTATTATAAATACTAAAACATCAAATCCGTCCCTTTAACATTATTTTTAATAAATCTTTAGCTCTATGATAAAACAATTAAAATGTAAYGTTTGGTTGGAAACTTTTCAGCGTGTTTATGATCTTCAGCTGCTCTGACTCAGGAGCTTCGGCTGTGTGTGCATGCAGCTGTGGGTCTGACTCACGGTCGTGGTGTAGACGGCCTCGGGGTCGTCCTCCATCACCCTGGACAGGCCGAAGTCGGACACTTTACACACCAGGTTGCTGTTGACGAGGATGTTGCGTGCTGCCAGGTCTCTGTGGACGTAACCCATGTCTGCCAGGTACCTCATCCCTGCCGCGATGCCCCGCAGCATGCCCACCAGCTGGATGACTGTGAACTGCCCGTCGTGCTTCTGCGAACAGAGACGCAGGAGGGTCAGCCGTCTTCCCTGACCACAGGGGGCGGACCAGCAGCAGATTGATGATATTCCTGATGATGGTTCTGCAGACCTGCTGCAGACCTGCTGCAGACCTGCTGCTGCATGGAACATGAGGGAAGTTTGGAGGTGATACTCACCCTGAGGAAAGCATCTAATGAGCCGTTCTCCATGTACTCGATGACAATCATGACCGGTTTCCCTGAAGGGAACAAAAACAAAACAAAAAAGAGAAACAAGAGTTGATTAATTAATACCTAAATTTTATTTGCTTTCATAAAGTCTCACGTTACAATAGATCTGCCAGATCTGATTCCAAGTTATTTTTAGCTGCTTGTTTCATTTGCTTTTAATTAAAACTTACCATCTGCTGCTTTTATTAAAGGCTAAATGAGAAAACGGTAAAGAGAAAGAGAGTGCAGTTATTACAGCCCTCTACTGGAGCGATACAAACAATAAGGTGTTCTTGTGTCTGTTAGCAAAATATCTGCTGGACTACTGAGCCTTTCTGAGTTTTAACGAAACTTTCATAAAGTAAGGATTGGATGAACATCATCATTTCATTAATAGATGTAGATCAGGTGCATTTATTATCTGAGGAACACAGAAAGAGTCGGTCTGAATGATCCTGCTTCTCGCAGGAAAAGAAACCCTGACTCAGCATTACCTCTGGTCACTCCTGTCTCACACTCCTTGTTTGAGACACTCTGTTCCCTTACACCCATCTCACACTCCTGGTCTCACTCTCTTTGTCTCACTCTGTTCTCTTAAACTCCTGTCTCACTCTCCTTGTTTCAAACATTCTTTTCTCTTGCACTCTGGTCTCACACTACGGGTCTCACTCTCCTGGTCCAACACTCCTGTCTTTTACACACTCCTGGTCTCACTCGTCTTGTCTCAGACACTGTTGTCTTACACACTCCTGGTCTCACTCTCTTTGTCATAAACACATTGTTTTCTTACACTCCTGGTCCCACACACTAATGTCACACACTCGTCTCACTCTCCTAGTCTCAGTCTTCTTTTCTCAAACACTCCATTCTCTTACACGCCTGTCTCACACTCCTTGTCTGAGACACCCTGTTCCCTTAGACCCGTCTCACACTCCTGGTCTCACTTTCTTTGTCTCACTCTGTTCTCTTAAACTCCTGCCTCACTCTCCTTGTTTCAAACATTATTTTCTCTTGCACTCTGGTCTCACACTACGGGTCTCACTCTCCTGGTCCGACACTCCTGTCTTTTACACACTCCTGGTCTCACTCATGCCTTTTCTCAGACACTGTTGGCTTACACACTCCTGGTCTCACACTCCTTGTCATAAACACATTGTTCTCTTACACTCCTGGTCCCACACACTCGTCTCACTCTCCTAGTCTCAGTCTTATTTTCTCAAACACTCCATTCTCGTACACGCCTGTCTCATACTCCTTTCTCACACTCCTTTTCTGAGACACCCTGTTCCCTTACACCTGTCTCACACTCCTGGTCTCACTCTCTTTGTCTCACTCTGTTCTCTTAAACTCCTGTCTCACTCTCCTACTCTCAGTCTTCTTGTCTCACACACTCCATTCTCTTACACGCCTGTCTCACACTTTCTCACACTCCTTGTCTGAGACACACTGTTCCCTTACACCCGTCTCACACTCCTGGTCTCACTCATGTCTTGTCTCAGACACTGTTGTCTTACACACTCCTGGTCTCACTCTCTTTGTCACAAACACATTGTTCTCTTACACTCCTGGTCCCACACCCTAATGTCACACACTCGTCTCACTCTCCTAGTCTCAGTCTTCTTTTCTCAAACACTCCATTCTCTTACACGCCTGTCTCACACTTTCTCACACTCCTTGTCTGGGACACCCTGTTCCCTTACACCCGTCTCACACTCCTGGTCTCACTCTCTTTGTTGCTCTCTGTTCTCTTAAACTCCTGTCTCACTCTCCTTGTCCCAAACACTCTATTCTATTACACTCTGGTCTCACACAACGGGTCTCACTCTCCTGCTCTGACACTCCTGTCTCTTACACACTCCTGGTCTCACACACCCCTGGTCCCAGTCATGTCATGATCCTGCTTCTCACAGGAAAAGAAACCCTGACTCAGCATTACCTCTGGTCACCACTCCCTCCAGATGGACGACGTTGGGGTGGTCGAACTGCCCCATGATGCTGGCCTCACACAGGAAGTCCCGCCTCTGCTTCTCKGTGTAGCCCACTTTCAACGTCTTGATGGCGACCGACACGTCCCGCTTCCCCGGCAGCTTCAGCCGCCCGCTGCACACCTCCCCAAACTCTCCTGCGGGGTTGGAGGCGCTCATGAGTGACGATAAAAAAAAAAAAACCCAGGCGCTTCACAATGACAAATTTATTAGTGTATTTTGAGACAAAGCACCTGCGCCGTGCTGGAATACAAAGTGGAGTCGGACACCCTGGGATACCCAGGGGAGCGTCACACAGACCTATAATAAGACACGCTGGAGCTGCACATCCTGTCATTGACCGCYTGCCTAAAACCCATGTGGCAGCACTTTCTGCTGCAGCTATCTGCTGAACGCAGACCACACATTAATTGCAATGAACTTTCCCCCCTGTGCGATAGCTCTATCAATATAAGAAGCATGAAGCTGTGTCCCCGTTCAGGCTGTAAATATTTGGCTGTCAGCATGATGTATGAGAGCTGTGAGCCGCTAAACGAGAGGAGCTGAGGACGGGCTCACCTGCTCCAATAACGCGCTCGATTTTAATGCACGAGGCGTCCAGCTCCTTGGCAAACTGATGGACAGCCCTGTTCGGGTCCTCGTAGGTTTCGGGGTCGATGTAGGTTTTGGTGCCTGGAAATTTAACTGTAGGAAGAGGAGAAGAAGACTGTTACGATGAGGTACGGTGACTGGGCTGCAGCAGCCCCGACATTCAGAGAACAACAAGATCACCCTGAAACCAGACGGTTCTGACTCTGCGCTTTAAACCCAAAATCCCTCAGAGCTGAGGGTGAGCGGGGACAAAGAGGTTCTGACAGCTGAACAGGTCCGTTTGCTTTGTTAAAACACAGAACCTGGTAAAAGTCAGCAGCCTCCTGTTTTAATGCCTCACGTCTGCACATACAGGTTCAATTTTAATTAAATTCTCCAGATTAGTAAAGGTAAATGAGGAAAAAAACTGATTTAAATATACAATATATATATAAGAAAAGTTCATTAAGATCCAGATGTTAATGAGTTTTAACAGCTGCCCCCATTAACTTCAATTCAGATTTCTATCAAAGGCAGCATCATGATGAGAACACCGTCCTACAGTGAATCACGGTGCACTTCAGACCTGTTTCTTTTTAAAACGGCTTTTGATGTTTAACTTTTACTATTTTATATTTCTTTTTWCCTTCTTTTATTGTGGTTGTTGGGAACTACCACTAATTAATTTTGCCCTGTCTTTATTTATTTGATCTTGTGAAGCACTTTGGTCAATGCAAGGTGTTGTTGGAAGGTGTCATATAAATAAGGTTTGTTATTACAGTATTATTA